CAGAACGAGGAACTACACCGTCTGCTGGCCAAACAGAGGCCACTATCATGAGGTCATGCACACCCCTACCGCAGGTATCAAAAATTCAGGGCGTTCTGCGTCGTGTTGGCAGCACACGGGCCGATAACGCCAACCCTGCCACGTTGCTCTGCTGACGACGTTCTTCTTGCCTTTGGGCCGAAAAGAGCCGTTTTTGTGCCTGCTGCATGTATAATATGTATGTATGTGTGACCAGTCAAAACGCACGCTAGAGAGAGGCTTTACGCCGTTGACATCCACAAACTGCAGCCAGTGGCGCGTGATCATACCTGCTCGCGTCCCAGAAACAGATCGAATTGTTGTCCAGTTTTGATTGCACACGGCCTGTAAACGTGAACCGAGTGTGTTGCGGTGTTGACTTTTGGGACTTTTTTCTTGTCCCGCCGCGTGTTTGCTCCGTGTGTCACCCGCTACCAGTCCACAACGCATGCCAGAGGGAGGCTTTCGGCCGATGACACCCACAAACTACTGTCAATCAATGGCGTGTGATCATACACAATCGCTCTGCTCGGGTCCCAGAAGTAGACAGAGCGTATTGTCCAGTATTGATTGCGGCCTGTAAACGTGAACCGAGTGTGTTGCGATGTTGACTTTTTTGAACGTTGCCTTTTTTTTTCTGGTTGCTCCGAGCGAGCGTGATCAGTCCCCAATGCATGCCAGAGAGAGGCCTTTGGCCGACGACATCCACAAACTGCAGTCACTGGCGTGCGATTACATACATACATACATGCCCTCTGGAGGCGACCCAAAAACAGGGCACTCGGTGTCTTTTGTTGGTCACACGCGAGCCAAAACCGTGAACTGAAGCATATTGTGACCCACAAAGACCTGGATCCGCCCTTGTTTTCCCCTGAGAAAAAAATCTGTCTCGAGGAACCGTAAGAAGGTCGTTTGGATCCAGATAATTTTTCCCTTGCAGACCACCCGAGATCAAAAACATATCTCCGAAATAATCACGACGTAAGACTCGGCCTGAAGCCAAGTCAGCAAATTTTTCCGGTACAGGCGATCTACGGTTTTGCGACCTAGGGGGCACGCGGGTTGGGAGATGTACACAGCAAGTCAGCGGCCCAGGAGGAGGGTCATTACACAGCATACATAACACACAGACAGCTCACCACCACCACCTGTGAGTCAAGCATGATAGACCGAGGGTTCTCACGTCGTGCGTTGCACACAGCGGAGCCTGGGGTGACTACAGTGCAGTAAATAGGCATTGGAGTGCTGCGTCCCCAAAGTGTCCCCACTGGGTTCCAGGAACCAGTACTATGTATGCATAGGTGGGTTAAACGCACATTCATTCGTCAACCCTCCTAAAGTAGTACCCTGCTACCCCCGCGAAAAAAAAAGTCAAAAAAATGTTTGTCAGCCATTCGTCGAGGGGTTGCAGTCCCTCTAAAGCATCTTGAGCTCCTTGCCAGTCAAAGGGTGACTTGGCTTCAGCATGAAAAGTGTCCCCAAAACACGGTAAATAGGCTTATGAGTGCCGTGCCCCCGAAGTGTCCCCATTTGGGCTTCCAGTACTGAGCTCCCTCTGTACAGTGTTGCTGTGTTGCTGTAAAGTCAAGAGGGCACGTGGATTCAAATACATACGTGATGCCCCCCCCCCCATTTTCCAGGCGCTTAATCCAGTTTGGTCAAGGCGTTTATTGTATAGGACTTAGAATGGTGAAAATAAAGCCTATATATTCCATAATAATGTATATGCTTTAGTATGACATTATAAAACCCATGCAATTGAGAGTTGAATGCATAGTCTACATACATGTAATAGTATGACCACACCAAATCCTAGACCTTATTTCTTTGTAGCCCCTTTTAGCAGCAGCAATCAATCAATCAATGTGGTCCTCCTGCAACAGCAAGGGAGGGTGACAGCAAGCAAGCACCCTGTGTGCTGTTGTTCCCTATAGAGAAGACAGTGTTCACAGCAGCAGCAGCATCATATATATATCTGGTAGGCTTTATACTCTACACGACACAGCACGACACTCAATCTACCTGCAATGTACCCACAACACACAGCAGTGGTCTAAACCTACTTCAGAAGAAGTAGGTATAGGTGAGAGAGGTGTAAGGTTTTGAATAGCCACATGCATACTAAATGCTATACAATAGAAAATATATAGGTTATACTATACCTCACTAAATCCTATACAATAAGGCATATACGGGATATAACAGCCCCCCCCCCCTGATTTGGTGCTTAATCCAGTTTTGGGGTGTGCATCACGTATGTATTTGAATCCACGTGCCTTCTTGGTGAAGTACGCAGGGTGGCCCGCAGAATGTAAAAAGAGGGCCCGCAGACGTAGACCTTTGGAGTTCGCGGGTATATCGCATGGCAGACACACCTGCTCCCTGCTGCGGTAGACATACACTCACTCGCGGCAGACAGCGAGATTACGATTTGCTGCGGGCCCGTGGGCAGAGCAGTATGGATAGGCCCCTACCACACTGGCGGTTCGCCTGCATCGAAGTGCTTGACATTTATGTGGAGAACAGACATGCCATGCCCGATTGATGCCCGATGAATCTGTGCCGCCATCACTTGGAGGAGTGCACCGGTGCCATCGTGGGCGGGCGATGCTTGGGTTTTGTGGTCGAGGCATCGGGGAAGACTGTTACGGGCAGAAGAGAGGATCGGCGTGGAGGACGACCCGGAGATGTTTGAAGAACGCATAGAACTAGATTTGCAAGCTGTAGAGCAGTGCCTCGCCGACGTACAAACAATCAACTACGGATCGAGAAGAGGATGACGGCAGGCAGTGCGTGGTAGTGGTAGGCCCGAGTCGTGCATCACATCGTCGCTTACAGCCGCTCAGGTCCACTCTCGTATAGAGGAACTTCGCTCCTTCTTGTACGCGAACGGAAGCGATGGCGAATACCGGGAAACACAGTACTTGCTGTCGAGAGCGGTGAATTCGTTCACTCCCATGAAACTCAAGTAGAGCATAGAGCGTCGTAGGGGGGCGAGGGCGAGGTACAGGCAACTCTTACAATAGTGACGTATGGAGGAAGTAGTGCGGTGAGGCGCTGCCATGGCTTGGTCCTACCATGGCTTGTCGCTGCCGTGGCTTAGCGCAACATTTTGTTTGGACTGCACTGTAGCACTACGGTACATAGCTCATTGCCAGCCGGTCGTGTAGGGGGGCAGCAGTTGATAGATTCACACTACGTAGCGGTATGTTTCCCCCCATCAATTGAACCTTGATCATGTGAGGGTTTTTCTATTAAGCAAACATGTTGGATAACGTTTGAAATCGGGGAAGTTGAGATAATTTGAAGTACAGAGTAGTACTACAACAACAACAACAATGGGTTTCACGATAACTACGGGTTTAACCTCGCGTGCAAAATGCATATCGTTGACCATTCGACATCTCGGGAGGAGCGTTGCCATGATTACGACTGACTACCGTGTGCACGTCGATGTAGACCAAAGTATTCGCAGCATGAAGCTTCCGTTGGAAACGCACAGCGGAGATCCGGATGCGGTGGTAGGCTCGTGAGGTTTTCTTGAGAAGAGCACGACAGAGCAGGTGGATGGGGTCGGAGCTGCAACCACGGTGGACATTAGCAGAGTGGGAAGTCGTGCGTACCCAAGAATTTTGAGAGGTGCTTCATGGAAGCGTTGCTTTCTTGTACACTACAGAGTGAACATTAGCTGGGGCGCGCTCGACGTTGAAATACGAAGGAAAAATCCGTATTCGGCGACGAGTGCCTGGTCAAAAGAAGAGTTTGGCCATAAAAGCAGGTGCTCGGATTTAGGCAGTTAACAAGCCTCGAGACTCACGCTAAAAAATAATCTTCCATGTAAGTGCGGGTGAGACCAACCGACCTTGCCCCATTTCAAACACGACGATCAGGTTTGTCGGGGAACTCCGAACAGATTCAGATTCTCCCATCATCATGCACCGTTTTGAATCCTGTAGGACCTCGGAGGCCTTCAAGCTCTCGTAGTTTGTGGTGGAGTGAACCCAAGCTTGGACCTCGGCGATTTTCAGTCTTTGACTTTCTACGACGTGAAACCAACGGTCACTTTCAACCCTTGCCGCCGCAGCGACAGGGCACTTACAAGCCCGTGGCGCCGGCATGGCCGACGGCCTTGGTCACGTAGAGCACCACTTCGAAAGAAGCAGGACCTCGGAGGCCTTCAAGCTCTCGCAGTGTGTGATGGCGTGAATATCCGTTTTTTCGGACCGCGTTTGGGGCCGCAACTAGCCAACCGCACCCCAAATCAATGTCATGAAGGCAGGTGAAAACCCTGAAGTTGTTTTGCTCGCAGACGTGGCCTTGAGTAAACAATGCGATTCCTCTCGATTTTGTGCTGCCGCAGTGCTCACATGGCGCGCACATGGGCCGAGTACGACAAATTAATGCGCTAAAATTTATCGGCGAATGAAGCGTTGGAGAAAACATTCCGTCGCTTCGTTTTCAGGGAAGTCCTACACGCCTACACGATATTAGTCTTTTCCGAAAAGCAGGTTCGACTTCGTAGAACTCCAACTGAATAGTTCGTGAGCCGGGGTTTGAACTGGATTCTCAACGGTCACTTCTGCCAACCCGATTATTGCAAGCTAGACTTTTTGAACTGGCCTGCAATCGCGGAACAAGGACGAACATGCCGCCAGTACTGCCGCATTCTACCGCGGTCAAAGCAAGGCCATCCAACTACGGCAGTCGGTCCCGACGCGCACCCTATTTGCGAATTCAGAGAACCTGAAGCTCGGTGCCTTCAGACGACACATGTACGTTTTCTTCTTGCGTTGAGGTCGGAGCACGTCCACGATTTTGGTAGTGACGGTACAACAACCGGTTTTGCAAACGAACGCTCTGGAAAACGACTATTTTCACCGATCGTTTGACCGAACAAATGCTTCGTTGCGCGCCATTTTCCCTCCCATTTCCTCATCAGGTGTCACAATACTTGAGGCTGGAGTCTTGGAAGTCGCTGAAAGATGAGGGTTGCCCTGTCCAGGGCACTGTCGGTGCTCGCCCCCCTGGCTGTTGTTCAAGGTGGGCCAAACGAAACGAGAGCAGTAGGCGGTGAAAAAGGTGCAACCCTTTCGGGGGTTCCTACTCTTCGTCGAGCCACCTATTGAAGGTTGTCGCATAACAGGGAAAGTGGTCCAATTGGCAGGTCCCCTATTAAATGTAGGAAAAACAAATTCAAATCCAACTGTCTTGTGATGTATTTGCTGGCTAAAAGTGCCATTGTGAAGTGCGCACTCGCCTCGTTAAGGTTGTCCTATCAATTTGCTTGAGACACATGAGAAATCATCGAAAGAGGTAACCCCCCCCGAAAGTCTGACTCGAAGGCTCCGCAACTCGTATCAACACCTCCACACATGTCAGTTCAATTTTTCTACAGTACTCATTCATGTGATGTAGCACCGTAGTTATCGGCAACCCGACCTTCTATTTCCACATACAGAACAGCATTTGTCACCTGCCCTTCACCCCCTGGCACTGCTCTGAATTTGTTGCAGCCAAAAACTCGTGTCTGGACCCCAACAGCTCCGACTACCGCTGCGGCGCGGCTATCGTGGCCAAGGAGCAATCGACGCTGTGAGTGCAAATGCCGTTTTGTCCAAGACGGCTGGTCGTTCTTGCACTACGGCCTTTTTCGACCCCATACTGCATCGCTCCGCACGCGCCTAATGCAATGCCGTTGAATGGAGGTGCGGGACAGACCATACCGCTCCGGCAGATAGTTACACGACCGATCATTGTGCGCCAATATTACGATCTCTCCCCCCGTGTGTGAACTTTGCTCAAATGACCGGCGACCCCTTCCTCTGGTAAAGGAGTCTTGTTGGCTGTGGTCTTACAGACGATGACTTTGATGATCTGGAAGTCTGCACAACTGTCGGGAGTCAACTCCAGGATCCATCAGTGGAACAACTGTGAGTGAACGAACTAGCGTACATGTACGATCCATACGATGTGGCAGAAGGAGAGCGTGACGATAGCCTCAGGATCCCGCAAGTAGCTCGGTTGGGATGAAACTCCTGAAGTTGTGTATAATCTCTTTCGAGTCAAAGCAGGATGCCACTCTGTCGACGGCCCTCTCTACGGGAACTCACGGCGTTTTGACAATCCAATCATCTATCGGCATACGTTCGGCGAATGAACTGCGAACTGCAGTGGCTTCGAGCCTTAACCACGCCTGAATCACTTGGTTGGAGGGATATATTGTACGAGTCATGATGTGACGCGACCGCGAGGCTGGGAGACTCACGACGAATTCGTTCTGTCCGCATGTCCTGGCTCCAAAAAAAAAGGGACCTCTACAACAACACCCTGACCACGCTTCCGGGGGAGTTTTTTCAATCTTCGACGTCATGGACATCCCTGTGAGTTAAGCTTGATTGTGAGGTGGTGAAGCGAGGTAATCAAATTTGTACTGTTTCCAGCGCTCCACGGTGAACCGACGAGCTATCGGTCCGTGTCATTGATGACCACATGGGTATGGGTGTCACCATAGCTAACCTTTGTGCTGGTTGTGTGGGTGGGCGGGAGATGAAACGCTCTTCACGCAGTAGTAGAAATCTCAGCTCCCACTGCTTCCATGTACGTATTGATGAAGGAGATTGTTGGAAACGTGTTGGACGGCACACACCTGGACATATCTACGTGCCATTATGCACGATGCGGCTATGGGACTCATCCTGCGTCCGGTGTTTTTGCATCTTCCAAATCCCAGGAACTTCTCCTACAACAACCTGACTACACTCCCGGAAGAGGTATTTCAACCATTAACGGCCCTTACAAATCTGTGAGTAGGTCGCAGCCTCACGGAACGTGTTATCGGGGACACAACAGAGTGAAAATCTACCTGGTACCAAAGTGTTCCTTTACGTGTCCGTTCGCGATGTCGTCGTTTACCGTGGTACTGTAGGAAGAACATGCTTACTACGCAACAACATAGGTGGCGCAGCCAAACTCGTTATTGAGTACCTCCGTGAGCTGGGTTTGACCGTCAACTTGGTACAAAATGGATATCGTGCTCCCCATTGTAACCCTACACGGTTGTTTTGCGTTATAGATAGCTCCACTCCGGCTGCTCTCCTGACTGGTAGACAGTCTGAACTGCTGGACTTCGGCCTCAATCATTCCTCCCGCCGCGTCTCTCGACTGCGTTCGACCTCAGGAACCTCTGGAGCAATCAGCTGACTACGCTTCCGGAAGGGATTTTCCTATCCTTGACGTCCCTGGAGCGGCTGTGAGTTGGCGGCCTCTCGACATCACCCGCATGCGTGCGTGCGAGGGTGCCATGGGCCATCTCGTGAATAGCGGCTAACGTAGTGATGTGGTGACCCTCACCTAGTACTCGGTGGCTGGGTGGCACGTCCATGGCTGTTCACGCCATTCAAACAACGCGGGTCCCAGTGAGGCCTGCACGGTGAACAATCCAGACCTGCTCCCAGTACATTGTGCAACTACGAGGCCGAGACCGCCGTCATTCGCATTCGCTCATTTCGTCCATACCTAGGTACATCTTCGAGAACAAGCTGACATCTCTTCCGGAAGGGATTTTTGGATCCTTGGCGTCCCTGACAAATCTGTAAGTCGGTCGCAACTCCACAATTCATGTTTCCTAGAAGGTAAAAAGATGTGTCCACACGTGTCGAATGCCGTTGCTAGCACGCTTGTTGAAGGGTCGGTGTGCATCGCGAGCATGTGCATGAAACCCACCTGTGGAGCACGGTGTGTGGCACATGGAACTGGTGGGTTCACGGACGTCCGTCCAGCCAACGGCATAAAGTCTACGCTAGTGTCAAGCATTGCCATCTCTCCGCCGCTCAGCTCGCCGTTGATTTCAGTCATATTACTACGTGGCTTGCGCAATCGTTCCCCCTGAATCCTGTCGATTGTTTCGAATTCAGGAGCGTCGGAGCCAACGACCTGGCCACGCTTCCGGAAGACATTTTCGAGTCTTTGACGTCCGTGACGCACCTGTGAGTGGTCGGGATGATTCCGTCAAAGCGTGGTTTACAGATGCGCTAGAAATCCACGTGGTGACCCGCTGCGTTTTGGTCAAAGCCCAATTTGTTGTCACGTCATACTCGGAGAATGCACGATTAAACGAACAACTGGAACTCCCCCGGCACCAAAAGGTCAGCCCGAAGCACCTTCAGTAGTAGCACCACGTCACCCTCCCGGTAGAGGAAGCATGGATGTGGATCATTTGCAGGGCAATGTGATTCTTCCCGGCCCATGATCTACGAGTACTGTGGAAACTTCGCCATACATCCATTCGGGTCATCAGTGTTGACGTGCCGCTTACTCCGCAAACGCCCCCCCCCGCCCAAATGAAAAAGGCACATCCAAGACAACCCGCTGCTCACGCTTCCGGAGGGAATATTTCGATCTTTGACGTCCCTGACGACTATGTGAGTAGGTTGCAGCTCCACAATAACATGGCCGCGTAAAGCTGCCAGCTAGTGTTTCGCGTAGACACCCTCCGGGGTTGTTAGTGCTCGTTATTGTTGTGTATACCCTCGCCAAACTGTCGCCGTAGCTGTCCCGGGCGCCGTAGCTATCCCTACATTAGCGGTGGTACACGCCTGGCAGGATTGCACAAGCCACGCTGTTTGCTCACGAGTTCTAACTCTTGTTACCCGCGTTGGTCGGGTATAAAACGGAATCGCTGGAATCGTAAACCCGACCAATGCAGCTACGGTCTTCCGCTGGAGGAAACCGTCTCGACGACTGCGGTTACCCAGATTGTGTGATACAACCAATCTGTGACGTCATGGACATCTACCCACGTTGTCAAACATTGCCGCAAGCTGAATATTCTGCCCCTGCCAGAGTTCACCATCTGAGCACCCTTAAAAAGCTCGCGTGTTCGTTCGCCCGTCGTCCTCTTGATTTCGTGGAAAATGCAGGAGCATCTCGACCACCAGTCTCACCACGCTCCCTGAAGGGATTTTCCAATACTTGACGTCCCTTTCAACTCTGTGAGTATGTCATCGCTCAGCACAACGCCCGTTGGTGCCACGCACGGGATGGGTGTTGCTTTTGAACGCGCTCGACCCCACACGTCAGGAATGCTAGCCAAGTGGCGCTGTTGAGAGCCCCATTGTTGTCACGTCGCATTCGGAGAATTCACAGTGGGGCGAAACGTTTCTGCGCCCTAAAACGTAACTGCAGTAATACGCCGCTCACTTCGCACGTTTTCCCATGTCGACTTCCGAGCCAAGCTGGATCCGAGACAACGACAACCTGAAGACGCTTCCGGAAGGGATTTTTCAATCCTTGACGTCGCTGGCAATTCTGTGAGTGTATCCGTGCTTGGAAGAATACACTTTGCGGAACCGTCAACATGAGGACACATCGCGAGCTCTTTCCAACATTCAACGTGGCGATTGGTTCGGCTGTCGACATGCCTAGGATTTGCAGATATCTGACCAACGACCACAAACCCTTACTGATCATTCAGCCCAACCAAGCTAGCGCCCCCAATATGTCGCTTTTGGCGATTCCTTCCCACCCCCCGGCAAAACACGAACAGGAACCTCAGTACCAACAAACTGATGGCGCTTCCGGAAAAGATTTTTCAACATTTGACGTCCCTGGAATATCTGTGAGTACAGGAACGTGTTTCCGGGACGATCAAAAGAGTGTCATGATAGATGCACCCTAGGCGGAAAGAGCTGTCGTATCTTGCTGTACTCAGGAGTACTTGACCACGGCTGAACTCGATAGTGGATAGCTAAGCGGGTGGCGGTTGGCCCCTCGCGTTGGTCTAACTAGAGGGGGCAGCGCTCGTTGTTACCACGTTGCCAGGGGGAGGCGGCTACATGCGTTCAAAGCCGCACACCCGAAAAGCCATACAAACTGCGCTGTTTTGAACCACGCACATCTCGCGAGGAACCGGCACACAGTGAGTGGTACAGGTCGTGTTGAACGGACAATAGTGGATATCCGTCCGGACTGCGAGCTAATGTCCAAGCTGGTCATATGGGCGAATCATGTGAATAGTCAGCCCTGCCGCTATCTTCCATGTGATCCGTAAACTCTCTCCGCAAACGTTTTCCCGGCAAACGTTTTCCGATGTATCCCCTTCCGAGCCAAGCTGGATCCGAAACAACGACCTGACCACGCTTCCGGAGGGGATTTTTCAATCCTTGACGTCCCTGATAGAAATGTGAGTGCATCCGTGCTTGGAAGAACAAACTTTGTGGAACGTCAACACGAGGCACACCTCGCGAACTCTTTCCAAGCAGTGACGTTTACGCCGACACGGTAAGTCATCACACGGCATGGTCTATCGTAGAATAGTCTATGAACGGAGAACGTGCAGAACCCTTTCAATGGCAGATTGGCCGGTGATTGGTTCTCCACGTCCAAGCACACTTGGCCGAACCACATCACTGACAAAATTGATCAAACCATGGGTCCCTCAAATCCAGGCTGCATCTGGACGGTTTCGATACTACTCATCGATCTCTGCTCATTCGGCGACTTCGAGCAAAATTCGGCGAAATGTCTGTTAGACTTCTGGCCAATATTCTCGCCATCTCACATGTACCTGAAACCTAACGATACCTACCATGATTTTGTTCCCGACGTTGTCTGGTACCGGACCTTCTTCCGAACGCGTTAGTGATGGACACTCCTCCATGGCGGTTGTTGTTCTTTGTCATGCTGAAAACACCAAGCCCATTGTTGCTACTCTTGCGTGCGAGCGTGCGATGTAAAGTCCCCATCGCCTTTTCCCAACCATGGCCCACGTCGTCGCCCGTGACAGAGACGTCAATGGAAACCCGAATCTGGAGTGCCTGCCTCCAGCACCTGAACCAACGTGAGGACGGCTGACTGTGAAGACACGTACCTTCCTGTGGATCACTCGCGTATCAAGACCCGAACGTTTTCGCGTATACCAAATCCAACCGAATCTGCATGCAGTGTCTGATTAAATTTTCCCCTACGGCCCGCACTCATCGTTTGCCTCCACATAAAGGACTGATGTTATCGGATACACTGGGGCAACAGGCGTGTGCGGTAAGTGGCGACGGTTGTGGTTCGAAATGGGACATGCGTGTTCTTACAAACGTATTCGTTGCAACGTACATCCCATTGCACAGACGCTCTCACTGTCGATCGATCAGTCACCACAAAAGTTTCCTGATTTCCGCGCAATCCTCTCCTCCCTGGAACGCGCTGGAAGGGTCGGGTTCAGAGCGTAGCACTTATTCTTCTTTCACCCTCGTTTGCATGAGCATCTGGACCAATTGCACACCATCGGGGTAGCGATGAATGATGAATGTGAACGTTCCGATTCGGCAACATGCAACAACGAGCACACCTCTCAATGTGGATGGATGAGTTGCCCGCAGGGTGTGAACTCTCGGACGGAACAAGTCCATGTGGCCAAGACCCGGCGTGCTCTCCTGGTCCCGAAGGGTACACGTGCGGTGAGAACATCACTGGTGTTGTTCATTGGTCGCACTCTGCCTGTAGGGTCACCGTGAATTAATCGCCCCACTCAAACGTTGAAAACGTTCACGCCGTCCATGATTTTCTCTCTGGTACCTGAAGTTTCTGCCTCGCTCTTTATCCGTGGGCAACAGGCAATACATCCCTGGCTTCCCTGGCTCCTACCCCTTCTCCCGCGCCCGTGCTAGAAGGTGAAGTGCACATGTTGCACACAGTTACGTATCACGTGCGTGAAGTCCCTCTGAAGCCAACCCCCTAACGCCGGCTTTGTAGGGCTGCGAGGTCAATGGTCTAACGACTACGGCATGCACGACTATAAGTACACCCCAACGCCGCCCTCGAAAGCGTCCTGCCTCGAGCACTGCAACGATCCTAGAGAGAAACCGCAAGCCGTTCACCGCCGCAACCCTTGATCAACATTGCCGCGGGTTGGGTGTGTTGCTGGTCATGATACTGTCCTCCGTGCAGCCCAGACCTTCATGCCACCAGTGTTTAACCGTGCGCGCCTAAACAGCCCAAACGTGCTCCAACGGACTTGCCGGTTACGAGAATTCGGGCGCCTGTTGTTCAGTTGGCTGCGGCACATGCGGCGGAGAAGGATGTTCGCAGCTCGGCGAAGGTATGGTGTACGTATCCTCGTTCCTCGCAAGGGTTGAGAACTTCTCTTTGAGTAACATGAAGAACTCTGCGTTGCGCTCTCGATGACGCCATTCGACGCACCACAATCAAGCGATCGCTGTTGTCGTTAAACCTTCTTAGGTGCGGAGTCGTGCTGCACGTCCAACATCATTGCTGCCCGCGAACCTTGCAGCGAGAAAGGGGCAGCTCCGTGCATCATGGACACCGGTGAGTCATGAGTACCCCTTCCACTTTCGGTTGAAACCGCTCCAACACACCGAACTTGCAGGACCCTGTCGCGGAACTGCCAGATGGAAAGCCGTCCCAGGGTAGTGTCCTTTGAACGTAGAAACAACCAAGTGCAAGCGGAGACGTCGTAAAATCTCCACTGTTGTCAACGCCACGGTAAGGACCAGTTCCAGAGCCGGAAACTCAACGGGCTTGTTGTTGAAATAGGTGTCGGTTTTTAGCGCTTTGCTTTCCAGTTCTCCTTGCAAAGTTCTACCGTTTTTGCAGTTCTGTATACGCTGCTTAAGTTTGCAAGAAATCCCATGACATGTCATTTCCTGTTTCGACCTTCGTTTCTTTTTTTTGGTTGAACAGATCAAACGTGTTCTAACGGGCTTGCCGGTTTCGAGAATTCGGGCGCCTGTTGTTCAGTTGGCTGCGGCACATGCGGCGGACAAGGATGTTCGCAGCTCGGCGAAGGTATGGTGTACGTATCGTGTTTTCTCGCGAGCGAGCGGTGACGACTTCAAAGTTTTGTCTTCGCCTTGGGTAGCGTGAAGATTCGTGTTCTCGATAACCCCCCGCCGGTGTTTGCCATAGGGGTTGGGTTTCGTCGCTTGGCAACGACGTTATCAAACAAGGGGATCTTTTCGTGAGCCCGACAAACAGGTTACCGCTCTTGTTTTCGCCTTCGCTTTTCTTTTGCGGTACAACCATAGTGGTGGCCGAACAGAAAATGTTGTGCGCGGTCGAGAACCCTCACTACGCGCAAAACGGATGATTGCACCACGTCGTGTCAAGATTGGTCAAGCACCCTCGAGACAGTACACTGTGCTTATAACTGTCTCTGAAAGCATGAGCACAATGAAATGTGTTATTATAATAGTCATTCGGAGCTGTCATCCGTATGCGAGGAAGAAAGCACAAGATGCCGAACACCATTAGCAGGATGCAGCGCAACCTCCATGCGACGAACACCTCACGGCGCTTCGCGCTTGGGGATGTGAGAGCCGGGTCCTGTGAGAACCCGGCATGCTCCGTCCCGGCTTCGTAGAGATGAGAAGTCAATGGTGTAACGACTACGGCATGCACGACTATGAGTACGACGAAGGTTCAAACACCGTCAAGCTACCCTTCCTTGTGTTTGCTAAACTTCTTGCTCAGGTGCGGCATCGTGCTGCACGTCGAACATCATTTCTGCCGGCGAACCTTGCAGCGAGAAAGGGGCAGCCCCATGCGTCGTGGACCCCGGTGAGTTCATGGGCGTCCCTACATTGCGCTTCAGGTTGAAACGTGAAACTGAACCCTAGCCTGATGGTGAGTCTCGTAGATCTTCACTTTCCATGCCCCGTCACGCCGGTGGAACTGCCGGCTGAGCAGCCTTGCCAGTGACGTGTAGTTTACCCTCCACCGTTATCAACGCTAGGGCATGGACCAGTTCCACCCTGGCAGTATCGCCGGCAGTGTTGCCTCCCAGCTGCCCTCGCCAGTCAGAAAATCGACAAGCGGAAGTCACTTATCATTCCCTATTTCGCCCGGTTTCCCTGTGTTCCTGTGTTGCTGAACAGCTCAAACGTGCTCCAACGGGCTTGCCGGTTACGAGAGGTCGGGCGCCTGTTGTTCAGTTGGCTGTGGTATGTGTGGCGGAGAAGGATGCTCGCAGCTCGCCGAAGGTATGGTGTGCGTGTCGGGGTTTCTCGCGAGCGAGCGTTGACAACTTAAAAGGTTTTCTTTCTCTTTGGGAAGTTGTGTTGTGTTCTCGATGACGCCACCCGATGAAGGTTTTTAAACACCCTTCTGTTTGCTAAACTTCATACTCAGGTGCAGAGTCGTGCTGCACGTCCAACATCATAGCTGCCGGCGAACCTTGCAGCGAGAAAGGAGCAGCTCCATGCGTCATGGACCCGGGTGAGCTACACACATCTACATGTACTCTCGTTCCGTTTGAAATCGAGTCAGGTCAAATATGTTGCTTAAAACTGAAACTATTGTCTTCCACTGTCGCGGTGAATCCATAACCTAGCGCCGTCTGCTAATGCTTGGTGATGTTGCGACATACTGATAACGACATCAATACGTCTGTCGTTTCCTCTCGTTAAACCCGGATCATGGAAATCAAAGATTCGGGCATGTGAGGTCCTGCAGAACAAGGCAGGACGAGAAAGTCAGGGAAGAAACTGCATCAACAAACCCATGCCTCGGTGATCGACGTCTTCAGAATGGCCTAAGCTGGTTCTTGTTTCTCTGGGGGATAATCCCTCATCTATCAATTTGTCCTACTTTGAATTCTCGAATAAGCACCTGTCAAGCTGTCGGTTTATTATTGTGTTGATCATTTGGGCCAACTGCCAATTCTTGCGTAGTGTTGGCGCTTACTGTACGAGAAACTAAACCAGTTTAGTATTGGGGGGAAGAAACGATCATCGCAAGTCGTCGTCAAGTACTCAACTCCATGCTGCCGTATTGTTGTGAGAGAGAATCTATTCTGCGAATATGTATGTGAGGTTTTGTGCGTTGCTTCCGTATTGCCTTGTTTCACGCTATGTCTGGTGAGTTGAACGTGTCGTTGCGAGGGTTTTGCGGCAGTGGTGAGATGCTGTGTACAGCATGTGTGGTTGTCTCTCTCCACAGTGCTCTCCACGACATTTGTCAATTACAATGCTGTCCGTCGAAGGGGGTATAGACTAAGACACAGCGGCGTGTATTCGTTTTACGGTTGTAGAAGAAGGAACACACGGTTGTCGTGCAATCATAAGTTCTTGTGCCAATTCTCTCACCGAGACAGACCACGAAGGAGAAACAACGCTGGAAACGGGGTGGTTACCGGGGATTGATATCGTTAGTCTTGCTGGGGAAGGAGATTGATGTGTTGAGGGCGCACGACATCAACGTAGGGTTCCCTGTTGTTTGCGATTTTCGATCGTGGCTGGGAAGCGGTGTCTTGCGAGTGGCCTCAGAAGACGCCCGAGCCGACGAGGGGCCAAATGCAGTGGCAGACGAACCTTAAACGTTCCACGACCCGCGACTCAAAATATTGATACACTGGCCTTCCGTTGTTCAACGCCCTGTGGCGAGGTACGCTTATCTACACATGCACACACGAACGTTTTCGTTTTTCGTGGGCGGATTGCTTCTTGTAACGATGCGGGCATTCTGTACGCTGGACACCGTACGTGCGATACGTTGTCCAGCGCGAAAGCTCCGCTTGGCCCACCTTGAATGGGCCAGAGTCGGCATGCTGGTTGGCCGTCCCTGATCCCCACAACGCTCTGATCCCAGATCGTATCGAACGTTTCTTTCTTCGCGCACCCAACGAGGTTCGCAAACAAGGAGCTAGTATCCTCATTGTCATAATAACGCCGGTCAGCAACGGCACCATACAATATGTTTCCGTTCAATTGCTCCTTAGGCATCATGCACCAACCAACGAGCCAACACCTGTCCCCCCAAAGACGAATTTCCGACTCGAACAGAGACACTAACCACGCTTGCCTCCGTTGTCGGTGGAGACTTGACCGTTGTGAGCCCGATACCCCCCATAGCCGTGTCGTCTAGAGGAAAGGCCGACAAAAACAGCCACGTGTTCTTAGGGTGGAGGTGGACTAGGTCCTCAAGACCTAGCCAGTGATCTACACCCACCCCTTCGGCAGCTGCCGCTCTCACCAACAGCGCCGCCCCTGTGGCCGCCGTGCTGATGACCCGCCAGGGTACCCACTCTTGTTGCCATCGCAGCATCTGCCGCCGCCGCTCCTCTCTTTCTGCGGTACCCCCGCGGCCGGGTGCCCAATGTTCCGCTGGTACCACCATCCCCCACGGCGTTGACTCCACCACCCCGGATGGGATCGGAATCTTGTTCTACAAACATTTAGCGGCGCATGGTCGTGAGGTGCTTGCCGACGAACTCGACATCATCTCCCACCCCGATCATTCTCCTCCGCCTCTCGATGGTCTTGACGCAGGTGCCGCGCCCGCCGCGCCCGCTTGCGCAGGAGGAGGACTGGCGAGTGTCGTTTGCACTGGTGCTATAGCCGCCTCCGCCTCCGCCGCCAACACGTGCCCGGCCGTCGTTTCCACCGGAGAACAGGTCGGCGTTGTTGTTCCCTCTCTGCCTCTCAGTTACGCCGCTCCTGATACCACCGCCGCCATCGACGATGAAAAAACGGTCGGGCCCCTCCCTGCTTCTGCTGCTCTTGCGGTGTGTCGAGGGCGCCGGCGTTCGAGCAGCTATAATAGTGAAGCCAACGACATCTACGTGATCCTGAAGCGGGGTGAAGCCTTCACCCCGCTTCATGGATCACCTAGATGCCGTTGTTTTCAGCGTTTCGCTGCACCTGCACGCCTACGTGCAGGCCCTCAAACTTCACCCCGCCTCAGGATCACCTAGATGTCGTTGTTTTCAGCGCTTTGCTGCACCTGCACGCCTGCGTGCAGGCCCTCAAACGCGCCTGGAGAGAAACGTCTGTGCTGTCTCCTGCTGCGGCTTCAGCTCCCTCCGTTTCACGATCTTGAGGCCGGCCATGGCGTCAACCAACGCCACAATCCCTTCCCGGTCCGTGCTGGCCTTGAGTGTGGCGATGTCTTCCACCTGCTGAGTAAGGGTTACTTCATTGTATGCGGATGACAGGTGCCGATAACTTGATGAATTTTCTGGTGCTTCCTTTCACTTCCAGAGGCAGTCATAAGCGATGTGAAACTATTTAGCGCCTCGAAGGTGTTTGGCCAATTGATTACCACGTGGCGCGATCATTACTCTTGCGCGGAGTGAGGGTTCTCGACCCCGTACAACATGCTCTACTCGACCACCATCTTCATGGTACCCGCAAGAAAACAAAAGGAAAACAACCCGGCAAGCTGGTTCTCGAGCTCACGAAGCGGTCGACTTGTTATTCAATACATCGTCGTTACCAACCGACGAAAACCCTGGTAGGGGATTTCCGGCGTGAGGGGGGGGATCATACACAGGTGGTCGCATCTCCCCAACGCCTGTGGAGGACGTCTCCCTCGTTTGGCATCGGTTGGCATTGACGAAGAGGAGCTATCCGCTGTTACAAACCACGCCACCCACGGTTAGCCTGTGTACACCAGAACCACCAATCAATAGCGGAGAAGAAACAGACTGCTTTCTTCGAACTACATTACTCGTTGTGCGGAGTTTGTTGTGTGGAATTTTCTCCTTCTGTTGACGTACGAACGCACCCTTAAAAATACGTAGAGAACATTACAAAGGTGTGGACTGACTCACCAAACGACCAACGACCAGACAGGAATGTTTTTTTACTTCTTCTGGATATTCCATACCTTCTACGTTGCTGATAACGTGGCGGACAGACTATACAATATTGGCGTTCGTCCTGCACTAGTCAATGTTCATATTGGCGAACTCCTGCACTGTAGTCAATGTTCAGTAGCATTGGTCTCTATCGTAGATCAGCACGGCGGCCACAAGGGGTGGCGGTGTTGGTGAGAGCGGCCCGGCACAGCGGGAGGCAAGCGGTGGCAGCGACAGTGGCAAGGGCATCGGTCCTATACATTTCCGCACCCTCGCACCGCCACCAGCAGCTGCATAATACCAGCATCAACTGCCCCCCGCTAGGGTTGTGGCTAGAATTGTGGTTGCATTGGATTGAGGTACTGGGCTGGGTCCAACGGAATAGACTTAAGCTTCTGAAACGTTGAAGGGAGCTGCCATACAGCCACACCACCACACATCAAACATATAAACCAATATGAGGCCGGAACGCGGTACCATACATAATGCGAAGACAACAACAACAACAACAACAGTAGAGAGAGAATCAAACCCACAAGCTGCTCCTACTAGGTTCGCGAGGTTAACCTACTTGTATGCGGAATATGATATTGCCCACTTCGCGTGAAGCAACCTTCTTTCCCACTTGCAGGCCGCAAGGTCATGACGGAACGGATATTTTCAACAAAGATGAACGGCCAGCCAACACTTCATGCTCACCCTCGTACGCTCCGGGTCACGGCCCGAAACGTATCCCTCAAACTGGAGCGCGACTCTGCTCTCCGACACCTTCGGTTTCTTAGAAAGTGGCTCCTGAAGCAGCGGCAGGAGGAGATTCCGACGGCCTCACGGTGCTGCTTGACCAGGTAATCATCTGCGTGGTGGGGTACGCCAATGTCCAGGCATTGGTGGAAGACGTCACCACACTCAAGGCCAGCATGGACCGGGAAGGGATGGTGGCGTTGGTTGACACCATGGCCGACCTCAAGGTCGTGTCAGGCACCGAACTGAAGCCGCAGCAGGAGACAGCACAGACGTTTCTCTCCAGGCACGTTTGAGGGCCTGCACGTATGCGTGCAGGTGCAGCGAAACGCTGACAACAACGACATCTAGGTGATCCTGAAGCGGCGTGAACCTTACTCCCGCCCCTATGAAGGGGACGCCGTGTCCGTTTCCGCCATAATCTAAACAGTAGGATACTACGGAATTGGCTCCTGAAGCAGCGGCAGGAGCAGGTTCCAACGGCCTCGCGGTGCTGCTTGGCCAGTTTAGCATCTCTTTAGTGGAATCCTCGGGTTTACAGGCATTGTTGCCAACATGGTCACACTCAAGGTCAGCCCGGACCGGGAGGGGGTGGTGGCGCTGGTTGAAGCCATGGGAAAGTTAAAGGTGGTGGAAAGGGACGAGCAGAGTGCGGAGGGAGGCGAGCCAGGGCCAGCCAGTAGCTCCCGGTCCGTGCTGACCTTGAGTTTGGCCATGTCGGCCACCAATGCCTGAAAATCCGAGAATCCCTCTATGGAGATTCTTCCCTGGCCAAGCAGCACCGCGAGGCCGTCGTCTCCTCCTGCTGCTGCTTCAGCAGTGAGAGAACGGGCCCGACAGCTTACAACTACACACGCCCAACAGTGCGTTCCTTCTTTTACAACCACACGCACAAAGCCACATAGTCGCAGAATGCATTCCCTCTAGCGCCTTGAGCGGGCCTGGCAGAGGCAGGACGGCACCATGCAAAGGGCCAAGCTCGACCAAGCCAACCGGAGGGAGAAGAGGGAGCGTGCGGGAGCAACGATCTAACGGTAATCGAATATAGGCCTCCCAAAGTGGGCTTTTCCATGACACGGATTAGTCGCGCCTTGAGCGGGCCTGGCAGAGGCAGGGCGGCGCCAT